GATCTTTTTTGCTCTTCTGTAGAAGTGGTGAAGGAACCAAATTTTGTGGACCCTTGTGATCTAGAGGATGTTACTAGTCTCTGTTATATAGGGTACCAGGAAATCTGAGGAAAACCAAGTTTAGGTTCAACTCCAGTCCCCCACCTTGAGGTTCTCAGATAAGTTAAGCTGAAGTGAACTTAGTTCTTTACTTTCTTGTTCTTACCACTTACTTTCTGCAGGTAACAAAGACTAATAGAAAAAAACTTGTGTTAGCAATGTAGCTGCACAACCTTTTGTCTTTCTGGTGGTCATTTTTAAGTTTCCCAAATCTTGTGATCATGCCATTCAATGACTGATGATAGTGTCTCCCAGAGAAGATGAGACCTGAATGTTAAACATAAAAAAGGCAAAGAAATCATCTTGAACACCCAAATTTTTCAGTCCAATGTGATACAAGCAATCATGTCTTTTGCCTTCATTTCTCAACAAATCATCTTTTCAAGCTGTATAAGTTTCCCCTTCAGAGCTCTCAACAGCCATGTTCCTATTGCTCACATTGAACTGCTGAGCACTCCCTCTCTGGTACATGGGGATCAGTGAGCGAATCTCACTAAAGCCTGGCTTATCTCTCAGCAGCAGATACACACACACACACACACACACTTTCCATAATTTTACCTTTGATCCAGTAAGGACTCAATATTTTTGTCATAAACCACTTTTTTTTTACCTTTGTAGGATCTTGATCATGGTCCCAAATGGAAAGCATGAGGTACACATGTTTTGGATAGATCTGGTCATCAGTATGTGACTGACGACCAGCTGTAAAGCCCTTGCAAGCAACCCTGAAAACCAGAAGTTTTTCTGACTGCTTTCTGAAAAGCAGAAGCACTGACTGTTGGGTGGTGCCACCAGCTGTAGACCAAGAGACATGAAGATAGAAGACCTAGAATTGATACCACTGAAAATGCTGCCTTAGTAAACAAGTAGCATCTGCCCTGGCTCCTTACATTTACAAAATAATTTACAAATATTTATTAATCACCACAGCATTTGTGTTAGGTTATAGTTGATCCTAATCATAGGTAGAAGTAGAATATGTTTCATCTGTTCATATGGATGTCACATCTGCAGTTGCAGGACTAAATAATCCTACTAAAGACACACAATATGTTCATGTCTGTCCAAGCACAGCTCAGAGTTCAGCCATGGTCATTTGAGAGCCCGGCATTCATGTGTTGTGTGTGTAGTATCATGTGTGCAGCATGCTCACCATTGTGGCTCAGTGATCTCCCCAGTTATCTGTGCTGGCATCAAGGAACATGGAAGAGCCTGAGACAGTAACTGACTGTGACCCAGAGACTCACCTAGGGTGTCCCCTGATCAGTGCCTGAGGGCACACGTCTCCTCTTCCCCGGCAGGTTAGAGATTGTGTTGGATTGGAGGTTATTTTCTTCACAGCAGCTTGCCTTGTGCTGTGTTTTAGATTAGTTGGTTAGTTAGTTCAGCAAGTTAGTTTTTGCTGAAAAGTTCCTACACAGAGTCAAAGCCTCTGCTTCACACTGCACCCCCTCCCCAGTGAACAGACTGAGGGTGCACAAGAGTATGGGAGGTGACACAACCAGCCAGATACTTTGAATTAACCAAAGAGGTATTCCATATCATATAGTGTGGTGCTCAGCAATAAAACGGAGAGGAGGAGACTTAAGGAGATTAGCCCATCTTTTGTTCAGGAACTGGCTGGGCATAAGTCTACCTGTCTCAAGCTAAATCTAAGCTAAAGACTTGAAGGCAATTTCCCTGCTGCTCTACACCAACTTAGCTTAATGTATTTAACTGATTTACAGCAGCTGAAGATTGGGTTCATGTGCCTTATATTAGCCTGAGAATGATGTTTTTGTTCAGAAGGCTTTGGACTGGCTGACCCTAGTTCATTTATGATTCAGACATCATTTTCTGGTTACTGTAGCTCTTGCAGAGGGAATCTTCCCAGGACAGATATCTCCTCTTATTTAGGTGGCTTCCTCGGACTTAGAATAGAATCCAGAAAGACTGACTACATAGACATCACATCCTAAACTCAGTCTCACTGGACACTTTAAAGGAAGTAACTAAGAATGCAAGTTACTGCCTTTAGGCTTGAAGATGAGTTCTCTCAGAAGTGTGTCACATCAGTGTGGTCACAACAACTGCTTCACTTGTACTCTTATTTCACATCCAATCTTCCTGATATGTCAGGATTCTTTCCTCCTCTAAACACATATTTCTTTTAAATGAAATTATTACGCTTAAACCCATATATACTTATTTAAACCCTATAACCTTGAAAGTCAAGACAATTGAACTCAAGGATTTTCTGACTCTTTTCCTTGATCTGCCACAGGAGGAGGTACCAACAGTCAGAGACAAACACAGGCCAGGCAGTATCCATTTCCCCGCTGTAGTGGGTTTCTGTGGCTAGATTTTGGTAGCGGGGTGGGCTACAGGGGTGGTTTCTGTTAGAAGCTGCTAGAAGCATACCCTGTCTGGTGGAGCCAATGCCAGCTGGCTCCAGGATGGGCTTCCTGCCACTGGCCAAGGCCGAGCCAATCAAGAGTGATAGTATTGCCTCTGTGACAACATATTTAAAAACAGAAAGTTATTGTGCAGTGAAAAATTTCAGCCAGGGAAGAGCGGAGCGAGAACATGTGAACAACAGTGCAGACACCAAGGTCAGTGCAGAAGGAGGGGCAGGGGGTGAGGCCCTGCAGCCCGTGGTGCAGACCATGGTGGGGCAGCTGTGCCCCTGCAGCCCATGGAGGGACATCGGGGTGCAGAGAGCCCCTGCAGCCCATGGAGGAGCCCATGTTGGATAGGTGATAGCCCATGATAGCAGGTGGATATCCAAAGGAGGTTGTGACCCTATGGGAGGCCCAGGATGCAGCAGGGACCTACCAGGGACCTGCAGCCCATGGAGAGGGAAGCCCACACTGGAGCAGGTTTTTCCCGGATAGGACTTATGGTCCCTGTGGGGGACCCACATCGGTACAGCTCATTGGTGAAGGACTGTACCCCATGGAGGAGTGACCCACGGGACAGCAGTTTGTGAAGAACTGTTGCCTGTGGGATGGACTCACATCGGAGAGGTCCGTGAAGGACTGTCTCCTGTGGGAAGGACCCCATGGGAGCAGAGGAAGGACTCCTGTCCCTGAGCAGCAGCAGAAACAACAACTGACTGCAACCCCCATTCCCCATCTCCATGCACTGCTAGGGGGAAGGAGGTAGAGTTTGGAAGTAAGGAGGGTAGGGGGAAGGTGTTTTTTAAGATTATTTTACTTCTTAATCTTTTACTCTGATCCTGTTTGTAATAAATTTAAGTAATATCCCTGCTTCAACTCTGTTTTGCCTGTGATGGCGATCAGTAAGTGGCCTCTCCCTGCTCTTAACTCATGAATCCTTCTCTGTTTTTTCTCTCCTCGGTTCAGTTGCAGAGGGGAGTGAGAGAGTGGCTTTAGTGGATACCTGGTGTCCAGCCAGGGTCAAACCACTAGACCTACCTAAGAAAGAGTATGCTAAAGAGCATAGTCTCTCATTATCATCACATCTTACATGTGTGTCTCCCCTACTGTGTCCAAAAGCAGCTGCAAAAGCTGCCATCAGGCCCTGATTGCTTGAAGGTGAGATGTGACCTTCTGACAGTGAAGAAGTGTTGATAAGAAAAATGTGAATCATCAAGAAGAGTTTGAATGAAGAGAGGAAGCAACACTTCAATAAGACAGAGAAAGTGAAATGATTAAGATGTATAAAGAGAACGGTGAAACAAACAGATGAGGGATTAAGAAACTCTATTCAGGTAGCATCATGGGTGGATGCAAGTGAGATTAAATTTGCATACATCAAATTCAGCCTTACTATAACTCAGTAGAAAAGTTGCGTTTGCATCCTTACTAATTTAAGGCAGGAAATTGAGAGAGGGACAATGGAGTTAACGCTGGTGTATGAGTAGGGCCATGCTCATGATCACGCTGTATCACTGAGCATGACCCAGTTATGTATGTGGAAGGTTAGGTATTGTGTTTTCCACTGAATTCATCAAGCTGTAGATCAGGATCCTTAGATTTGGATTGATAAATTTGTTTTTTATCCAGTCCAATGCATTTTTCATACTATTAGGCACAAAAGGCATAGGTCACTGGCCAATACCCTAAGATTTCATTTATTAGCAATGTATTATTGAACTTGACACTTTCTTTCTCATCATGATGCGGTAAATCCTTCACTAAAACTAGCCTCATCTTGCAACACTTACAAGATGTGAGCAAAACAAGAATTTTCTTTCTGTGCCGGTTTGGATATTTGTCACTGTACCTGAAGGGCATAGCTCCTGACTGCTGTGTGTTACCAATACTCACCTTGCCCACTAACCCGGTTTACATGTCACTTAGGCTCTTCCATGATTCTTTTCCAATGCAGACCTACACAAAACTGAATCAACTTGGGATATCACACCACAGGCACTCAAGAGGAACTGTGAAAGGTGTTGCCTAGACAAAATTTTAGCAGGATTGAAGGCTTCTCCTACTAAAGAAAAAGGTATCATATGAAGTCCTGTTTTCCCAAAACTTTGTTTGTGGCTTGCTGACTGATCGGTCTTCTTAAGTTAAGTGGAATTGTGCACTGGATGTGAAGACATTCAGGTGTGGTGACTACAGAACTGGGATCCTCCTGGTTTCTGGCTCACACATGTTACAGCTTAATAAACATCAGTAATTTTACATTATTGAAAATGGAAGGAATGTACAACTATTGGTTGTACAACCAAATAAGAAGCACTTGAAGAGGAAGGAAACAAAATACAGTATTTTTATTTTTTTATCTGTTGCTCACAGTGCGGTGAGAATAGCAAAGTATTGCAATTGTTGCTATTAGCAAATCTGCTTATATAATTACAAAATGCTTTAATGGGCTTTGTCAGGGACTTTGAAATAATTCAATAATTTCAAATAGTTCAAAATATCTTAATTTTTATTTCATTTGAGTAAAATAGTCAAAGTCCAAATTTCTTTTTTATCTGTGTTGAATCTCCACTTCAGAAACTTTTGAAGCTTGATTTCATTGGAGTTGCATCTTGAAAATGTATACATTCTGACATCAGATAGTGCCATTACTACTCTCCAGTGTGCCACGTTATCAAATATTTGCATAAAATAATAACACGTTTCTAGCTTCCTGAAAGATGTCAGTAAATAGCTCTACATAATTTGTAAACTACTGCTCATAACAAAAGGTTCCAAAAAGCTTATTCCTGGGTTTTATTCAGTAATGATTTAGACTTAATTTTATTATGTACTTTGAGTTGATCTCCAAACACACCAAGGAAAAGTATCTCCCTTCACCCATTCTCATAAAAAATAAGTGAGGATGATGAACATTAAAAAGGAAAAGTAAAAGAAATGTAAGAAAACAGAACTGTCCAGATTCATGGACTGTTTGTTGTGCAACTTAATACGCAAGATGATTGTGAGCACTTGTTTAAATTAAATAGTGAACCAGGCCATCTGCAGCAGTGGACAACCTTCATTGATTGCTTTCTGATTTGAATCTCAGCATTTATGTTGTTTTTTCAATTTTTAAAATCTTGTTTGTGCACAGTGAAGCTAGACTTGAATTGTTCGGTTTTTTTCATGAACAAGCTGGTCAGCTCTTTGAAACAGCATGCCAATGCTCCCTTTTTTTGAAGGACTGTCTGTACCTGAGACATATATGATTGCATAAGTTTAATCAATACCACAGTAAAATCACTTATTGTCTGATACATGTGTTATTACCTTAACTATCTCCTCTGAAGCACCCAACACCATAACATGTAGAAAATTAAAGGATACACAATTGTTGTCTTATTCTGGTACACATCATTTGCTATCTTATTATATTTTCTGGTAGCTTTATTAAAAAGTCGTTGGGGTTTTTTTTAACCACCTCTGTAAAAATTACAGTCTGCAGAATATTTTCCTTTGCCTCTGTCTTCTTTGGAAGAGTTTTTCTCTTCTTTCTCTGGGAGAGCCAGGCTTAAGTAAGTTCAGTAGAACTGATGCTTCCTTGGTCCTGTTTGCCTTCTTTGACTAGTACCAAATAATTTAAGCCCTCTTGATTCCTAGTTTCCATTAATGTGGCTGAAAGAACACCGTCTGAATCTGCACATGGAATCTCATTATCTGCATTAAAAACAAACAAACAGACAATCAAACAGTCCAGTAATATACAGGTAGTATTTGAAATCAAACAAAATCAGACAGCTGTTGGAGAAAGTTGGGCTAGTGACAGCATAAGGCGTGACTGATGATTCAAATTCATTTTCTGTTAATGCCTGCATGGATTAGAACTTTAAGCAGATCACTTGGGAAAGGTTGGTCATCAGTATTCAGACCTCCACTTGCTTCCTTTCATGGTAAAGATAGACTGTACAAAGCCAAAGTGATTTTAATCTATACCTTTGTAGTAACCCTGCTAATAATACCACTAAAGACTCCTGTAATGTAGGCAGTTTTATATCTACTAAATCATTGTATACTGTCTCTCTAAAGGACTTGTAGTATTCTGTCTTTCTAGAAACTTAAACTTGTCAATCCACTGTGGTTTTCCCATTTTTAAAAACTTGATATTTTTCCTTAATTTGATGCAGTTCACATATACTATAGTTGCTTGAAATCTATTGCAGGGGATATACCTTTTAAAAATATAAAAATAGTTAATGAAATGCTCAAATTATGAATGTTGCTGGTTTTTTGCATTTACTGCAATATGTACCTTCTTTTACTACACTATCTCCTTATTTTACTTCATAACTGAAAAATCAAGCATGTGATATTCAGGGCTATGTGTTCAAAGGAATTGCAACTGTTGTGCTGTTCCACCAGGCAACACACAATTTATTAGGCCACTATAATCACACATCTCCCCCACCTATAAAGTGAGAAATGTGTTCCACATGCTAGAGTCCATTAGGCAACATTATCAGGAAAAGTCTGAAAGAGAATTTTGGTTTTAGGAACCTGTTAGCAAGACAGGGTTTGGGCCATAGAGCAAACTATGGCCACATACCACAGAGACTGACAGCAATGAAAAATCATTTGATACTCACTTCATCAGTTCAGGGCTATTATGGCAATATTTGGTAATTCAACCCCAACTAAGACTTTACCAGTCAGTTCAGCTCTTCTTTGTATTTTTTTTTGTTTTGTTTAATAAAGCTTTTAATAGGAACCCCCAGGGGTAAGCTGCTTTGAAAAAGGCGCACACAAGCAAATGCTGAAGGCGCTTTTACAGCAAACTCTTAAGAGGGAATACTTAAAATAAGGACCCAAGTAAAACTGGGTATTTACAGACCAGACATATGCCGGCTGACCTGCCTAAGTATAGAACACTAGAGGAGCATTCAGATTTGTTTCCTGTATAAGTATCTGGAACTGATGAGGTGATGTTTACACAAATGTGAGTATGAGGTCACTGAGATATTTTTACCAGATATATAGATACATTACTAATTCTTTCCCCAACAGGTCTGAAGAACTACAGAATATATTAAATATTATAATCCTTTTTTCAGCCTATGCACCACTGTGTTTCTCATTACAGAGAAAAAGATCTAAAAAATCAAACACCTTGCCTTTGTTTTACTTCTTCAGCTTTGGGAACGAAATAATCAAGAAAGCCTATTTTTGCACAATATTCTTATAATATCCAAAGAGGGAGGAAGAATACAGTATTGATGACCTTTCTCCTATAACATGACATGTATAAGATACACTACCATTTTCACAGTGAGATTTTTGACTGTAACTGCCCTTTCCTTCATTATTGAATCATCTGTTAGCACAGTATTCAGTGCCTATGAAAGTTTAGCACCACTTTGCTGTACAAGCCAAAGAAGCTACACAAAGGTCTCAAGTTATATAGTGCATTGCTGGACTGTTGTGTAAGTCAGCAAAGCAAGCAAATAATTTTTGCTGATTTAGATGGAGCAAAAGGATGGGTGGAGACAGAAAATACTGAAAATGAACAAAGAAAAAAAATCATGATAAGATGTGAAATTGCCCTAGAAATCTGAGGGTTACAAGCACACCATCATCCTGAGAAGCCGTAAGTCAGTTCAAAGAATTCTGAATAATCTTTGGAACCTCATTTCCAAAAAGCATTAGGAAATTGAAGGAAGATAGAGAGAAACTGGAGTAGGGAGGCAGGCCAGTGTATTTATGAGATATCGTTATTTTCTCTTCAGTTTTAACATTGCTAAAATTAGTTGATTGATGTATAGTCATGCTGGGTTATACGTGAGTAAATGCAGGATAAACCATGTGATGTGATCCCCTCAGATTTCACAAGCAAAGCCTGGCTGAGTCAACAAAACACCCCAAGAGGAAACATCCAAGGAACACCTTCATGGAATCTGAAGTCGTGCTGGGGAGTCAACTCCAAATGCTTAAATTCTGAAGGGTTGTCTACACTGTGAACTGCTGCATAGTGTAGTGTTACCCATGGTCGCTTTAAACAACCTACCTCAGGGCACGAGACAGGCTAGCTCTGTCAGTCCAGAGCTTTGTACAGGCCGAGAAGTACTCTGCTGAGAAACAGGTTCCCACTGAGCTCTGAGCTGTCTCATCTAGACTGCTTTCAATAGCTAAAACGGCAAGTTCAAAACTCAGCATTGTACTTGGACAGACACATGTCTCAGGTCCTCAATTCATGTTGCTTTGACCTTGCCGAACACTTTTCCTAGTAGTGCTGTGCTTAAATCTTATGTTTAAACCTTGTGCTTAAATCACAGCATCTGAGCTAAACTGCAGGTAAATTAATTACAATACCTCTCTCGAGGGGTAGGCAGAAGCTTTACTCTAGAGAGCCATGCATTAATTGACGCAAGAAACTGTGATCGCCTGACTCATACATAACGAGGAATAAAGTTTGCTTGCTTAGCCTCCTCTGAGGAGACTGACCTTAACCAGATAATATCTGTGCTTCCCCCTTCCCAGTCTCAGCATCTCAGTTGGCTGCTTCCTGCCACAGAGCAGCCATGGTGCTGCCTCAGGATTGTGGTGTCTTTCCTTGCCTGCTTAGTAGACTCTGAGGGCTCACAACATGTTTTGAAGTCCTGCCTGGAAGGGTGTAAATTTTTGTGATGTCTTGATAAGCAGAAGGGTTTTTTTGGTGTTTAAATTCAAGAAGGTGACAACACATAAAAAGAAAAAGAATGTCAGTAGAAAAGCTGATTGGTAGAGACTGAACAAACTGATCTAGAGATGCTGATCTTCTATTACAGCTATTTCAGGGCCAGATCCTCAGCTAGCATAAATTAACAAAGCTCCATAGAAACCAGTGAGATACCACCAATTTACACCAGCTAAGTAGCTAGCCTGAGACATTACTAAACCGGGGTAACATAATCCCATGCAATGCTTAGCACCTTCACTATGGTAAGGTATTTAGAAGTGCAGCCACATTTGCTTTTTCTCATTAATACCTTCCTGATTTTCTCCTGCATAATCTGTCCTTTGTCACTACCACAAAATGTATGTGGTAGTAAACAAGAGACTGGCTGCCTTACTGGCATGGCCACTGCGACCACATTCAAGAGAAGTGCTTGATGACATGTCTTTGTCGAGTCTGTTGAACCTAGACTTCTCTACCTCAGCTCTGTTGGTTATCTCAAGGAGATAGTTCCTGTGTAGAGAATATTTTCCTGATACCTGATGGCCACCTGGAGCTGGAGGTGCTGTGTTTCAGTTTCTGCACATTGCCAGTAAGAATATAAATAGAACAAATATATATCCGTTTTAATACTCCACTCTGTATTATGTATCAGTGGAGATATATCTGTGTTTCCTGTCTAATGAAGCATATGATCTTGCATGGTTTGAGGATGACTCACGGAGCTTTGCTATTCTGTCAGACACCAAATGTGTTAAAAGTGAGAATTTTGTTCAGCCTGCATTTCCTCAGCTCTAATCTGCTTGGAGCATTGACTGCCTGCCTTTCTTTTTATTTTAATAGATTTTTTTTTAGAGATCTGTGAACTGAAATCTCTGTGTGCAAAAAGCTGTCTGAGGAATTACAGTTATAAACATGATTCTTTTCTAGTTTATTATAATTAATAACATAAAAGCACCAAAAAAGACCAATTCCACATTTGTTGCAATGCAATAAGGCTATACAAATAGGAAAGCACTCCCCTTCTCCAGAGCACAAAGCAGGATTCATTTTTCCAAGTTTTAAGGACCCATATCTTACGTGTCCAATTTAAGCTCCTTGCCTAGGCTGTCTTTATAGTCAACAGAGAGAGAAAGAAGGAATGAATCGCTTTGTGGAGGCGCGTATTTCACATCCTTGCCTTAATGCATTAACATCCTCTGAATGTGTCTACAGCTCTCTGCTGACTGTCAAATAGCCTAGACAGACAGCATGAATGCAGTGCTTACATTTTAGTTGCTTATATCTGTCCACATCTGTCTACACAGATGTCAGCTCTTATAACATTATATCATGTGATTTTTTTTCCTCGGTCCAAGGCAAAGTATTAGCATGACTTTACTTGCAACATCATATGGCTCACGTGCATCCTCTGGAATCAAACAGCATTTGTCTAGAGCACAAATAAGAAATCACACCACCAAGTCTCGCTTTTCCTGCAGTGTTGTAACCACTCACTCTTTTAGAAGACGCCTTTTCTCTGACCTCTGCTGGCTTTGGGTCAGCCACTCACTAAGCTAAGTGGGGAGAGGATTATTGAATTTCAGAAAAATACAAAGGAGACTAGATACAAGGTTTTAAAAATGTCTCTTATCAACACATCTGCTTTAGAGAAGCTTCCGTTTGTCCAAGCGATTACTTTACGTTCAGAGAGTTGTGTGGAATAGTTTTTTAAAAGGCAGTTTGGTTTAGGAAAATAAACTGTGACTCTTACATGGGGAACAGAAAACAGGTGCTAGTCAGTCAGCAGAGAGTGCAACATATAATTAATGATGAAATCGCTGATTCTAAATTTTAATATCAAATTCCCTCAGCGCAAAGCTTTGTACATAGATTTTAAAAAAGTACAAGTGACAGTTTTAGCAAGTAACTGAACTGCTGAAAGAATAAATACACTGAGTGACTAGTTTTGGAAAGAAAAGCAAAAAAAGGAAACATTACAAAATTCTAACTCGTTTACCTTCCCACGTTT